CTGCTCCTCCCACTCTTTCTCTTTTTCCTCCTCCTCTTCTTCCTCCCATTCTCCTCTTCTTTCTCCTCCTGCTCCTCCCACTCTTTCTCTTTTTACTCCTCTTCTTCCTCCCATTCTCCTCTTCTTTCTCCTCCTGCTCCTCCCACTCTTTCTCTTTTTCCTCCTCCTCTTCTTCCTCCCATTCTCCTCTTCTTTCTCCTCCTGCTCCTCCCACTCTTTGTCTTTTTCCCCCTCCTCTTCTTCCTCCCACTCTCCTCTTCTTTCTCCTCCTGCTCCTCCCACTCTTCCTCTTTTTCCTCCTCTTCTTCCTCCCCTTCTCTTCTTTCTCCTTCTCCTCCTCCTCCTCCTCCTTCTCTTTCCATTCCCCTTCCTCCTCCCACTCTTCCTCTTTTTCCTCCTCCACTTCCTCCTCCCACTCTCCCTCTTTTCCCTCCTCCTCTTGTTTCTTCCCCTTTTCTTCTTCTTTCTCCTTCTCCTTCTCCTCGTCCCCTTCCTCCTCCCACTCTTCCTCTTTTTCCTCCTCCACTTCCTCCTCCTCCTCCTTACACTCTTCTCATTTTTCCCCCTCCTTCTCCTCCTGCTCATCCACTTCTCGTCTTTCTTAGTTCTCCCTTTTCTCCATTGGCATTAAACGGGACAAGGACCTTAAGAATGCAAGATTATGTATTTTATGTTTACACTACCATGTTCAGTTATGTAGGACTCCTTATTAACATTGTGTTCAAAACGTTGTAAAACACATTTTTTTTAGCATTGAGGCGAACATAGGAATATTTTCATTAACACTCATACGAGCGATTGCCATGACTTCACGGTGGTGGTAGGCAACAGCGAGGGCAGTTGGGTGATTTGCCTACCAATAATTTGCATATGTTTAAAAATAATTTGCATGTGAATGATGTAAACTTGACAATGGTCGCTCGTATACATCGTTTGCTATTTCTCATCTTTATAGACCCCACGTCTTTGTGTTCACGAATGTCCTGCAAGAGAAGATGCGGTCGACCCTACGATTCTTCAATCGCTTGTCAGTGTGACCAAGAATGCAGCTTTTTAGCGACTGCTGCAAAGACATTGGGTACGTAGACATGCATATACGACAGGATATTTCTGCATTGTTAGCTGAATTTTGTTGCAAAAATGTGCAGGATTAATTTTCCCATCAGTATTTTAGGTTGCTCCAGTTCTTAGTAGTGCCCTCTTTTTCATGAAAAAAACACAAAGAAAATGGAGGACTGGTATTGTTTATGGTATATTCGTTCCGTGACCTCCTTGATAGCTGGTGTTGTTTCCCTTGCAAGATAAAGAAAGACTTGCAGACACAATGATGAATGAGAAGGAGATATACTCACAATGACACAAGGTCTAAATATTTCATGGTGATCTGAGATCTCCAAATTCTACTTTCTGATTGCCCCAACTCCAAGGACCTGCAAACGAATCAAATCCGGGATAAGGGTATAGATGAAGAGGCGACTGCAATTGGTTGTGAAAATTTCAAATCAGACACACATTCCTCTCGATCTTGCGATTAAAATGACCTTTTATGTCTTTGACTTCATATTACAGAGAAGTGTGTAATATTACCGAAACAGTTCGAACACCATCTGATCATGACCAGGAGAAGTGGAAATGCCTGTCGGGATACTACGGGGGAAGATCTTATTGGCTGGTGGCTGACTGCCCTGACGACTTGACAGACGACGTCACAACAGATCAGTGTTTAAAAGAAGCTGACCCTTACAACCCGGGTGACCTGGTCTACCGGATGCCCGTGTACGACACTTTAACAAATATCTCCTACAAGAACATATTCTGTGCTTTTTGTAACAATGTAAGTATGGAACAAGTAATTATATGGGAGGCCGAACTTGTGTGCACTGGGTTGATTAATTCCTCTACAAACCCCGTTGGAGTTGCACAATTATACAATAAACTGAATATCTCGATTGGGAATTGTAGAGGAACTCCAAAGCTGGAGTTTGAAGATCCATTCTTAATGCAGAGTATCACGAGGACATGTATAATCCCCTATAAGGTGGATATGTTGAATGTAAATTGTAATGTAACGGCTTGCTGGTCTTACGACCACAGAGTTACTTTCAACCAACAAAAGATTTACAAAAACATTCACTGTGCTCTTTGTGAAGGAATTTCTCTCGCGTCAACCACACATTTACAATGTTATAACCCCTCTCATAGGATTGTCTTCTCTCTCATCTCCTTAACTCATCTGTTTAACTTTAATGCTGGTGAGAGTCACGAAAACAACCCAAACCATTGCCCTTCGGACTCTTTGTATGACTCATTTGTAGACTCGTGCCGACCATTCTCGTCTGTAAGTCACGGCCCAAGTCTTCCTCTCCAAAACTGCAGCAGACCCATTCTGAATTTCACGTCCGAGGAGTTCCAAGTCCTTCCCAATGGTAGCGTCCGCCTGTTGAGTTCTAACGGAACATGCCCAGCTGAACAGGTGGTCATTCTGAACACATCAGCATCAATCTGTGGGGACTGCCTTCTGTGGTATTTTTCGAACGACACGCTCCAAACAACCTGGGATGCTACCAAGAGTTGGCTAACCCTAGGTCTTGTGTCAGCGTCTGACATAGCTGTGGCTAGTTTCGTGTTCTACACTTACAAGTCGGGCCAGTGGAAGAAAGTCCCGGAAAAGCTGAAGGTGCAGATGATGACATGCATGGCAGTTGCTGTTACCCAGTTTGTGGCACGTGTGTTTATCCCCCCTGGGCCCGTCTGTACAGTGTATGCAATACTGCTGCACTACTTTATGCTGACGGCCTTCACATCCATGAACGTGCTAGCTGTAGATATCTTCCTTACATTTCATGAGGATTTAGAAAGAGCGGAACTGTACAAGTACATCTTGTACACTTGGCTGGTGCCGGTGCCTGTAGTCCTTGTCACAGTGATTGTGGAGTTCGGCAGTTCTGTCAGGGTGGGTTATGGAGAGCAGTGTTGGATCGGTAATCCAACAGCCAGTCTGGTGGCTTTTGGTGTTCCTGTCTTCTGTGCCCTTATGATCAATGGTGTCTTCACCATTCTTGTGTTGCTGGCCTTACAGAAGTCCTTTCAGATAGCCAACGCTGCTTTGCCACGCTCGGAGATGAGCAAGATCTGGGTCTACATTCGTGTCTTGTTTCTGGCCGGGTTCACCTGGATTTTGGGCTTCATTTTTCCTTTCGTCAAGAGCGAAGTTCTCGAGTACATCTTTATTGTGCTGAATGCTTCCCAAGGCCTTCTGATGACCATGTTTATGACACTGACGGGGGAGGTGTTGGAGAAATGGAAGTCTGCAATCATGGCACGCTTTGGTCTGGCTGAAGCTCATCAGGACAATGGACAAACCACCACCACCACTCATATCCGGCAGACAACCGGAGGGAAGACTGAGGTAACGGCAGGTGGAACAGGCTCTGCTATAGAGATACCCATGACTATTATGGCCGATGAAGAGGAGGACAGGGCACGCCATCGTCCGCGTAAGCCTCGTCAGAAGAAGGGACGAAACGCGCCTGCCGGCAACAAGCCTACCACCGTAGGGGGAACTGAGGCAAAGTCGGATGAGACTGACACTGCAGGCTACGTGCAGGCCCTCGCAGGTGAAGTTGGGGCTACAGCAAGCGGCACTGGCGTTGCCACTGAGATTATACCCATGAAAACATTCGTCAATGCTGAAGAAAATAAGGATGAAAACAGTGCTTCAGATCGAGATGAGAATGAGACCAGTTTCTGAAAGGAAACTAGCAGCATGTCTTTATAGCTGTCCAGCTTTTATAGATGTCATATCTCCCCATGCCGTGGCCAATAACGAATAACAAAGTAATTGCCTTTCAAAATTAGCTTTGCTTCTCTCCAATGCCCAAGATTGTTGCGGAATAAACTCCTATATTGCGTTTGAACGTGATTGGATGAGCTTTGAGGAAGAGACAGATCTGTTCATTTACATGTGATCGTTGTAAATTCAAAATTCACCTGCCTAACTGTAAACTACTCATTTAACCATCCATCATGGCGGGCATTACGTCATAGTCACGTGAGAAAAAACGACGGAAACGTGCAGTGATTGGTCACTGTGACTCTCAACAGTATTTCCAGTCCTTCTTCGAAACTATCACTAACCACAATATAGTAATAATAATAAAGTAGTGAGAGATCTTCTCTGCCCAACTAGCACAAATGATGACACGGACACGGTCCAACATTGTAACTATAGTCTGTACATAATCAGCTCTGCCTTGGAAACCCAAACAAGGAAGTCTGGTAAATTGTCTAATGTAAAAGGCAGAAGTGTATCGTACCTTTTGTTGATAGATAATACTCAAGGAAAAATAGATTTCTAACAGAGGGACCATTCATATAACAAAGATGTCGTGTAGTACATTCCAAGAATGACCCAAAACTTTTTATCATCAACATCGTCTTTTTAGTATGGATGATCAATTAAGCATATATAAATGATATTTAATATGATGACGCTTAAACTATCTATTAAGTGGCAGACAAGAAGAGTTACTACTATTCAGACTTAATAAGTCAAGACGTTTTATTCAGATGCTGTAGTGCTCAGTTATGTACAGTATGATATGAATACTGTACAGTTGTTTGTGCTTGACATAAGTTACTAAAAAGGCAAACATTCTAACACGTTAAGAAACATACAATAAAAACTTTCAAAATAAGGAATTTTGCACGTCAACAACTAAAAATAACACTTATGATCCATGATGTGTAATATATCCTAAGATACTGAAGAGGATTACTGTTCTAAGAGTTAAATTATTCATTGTTTACGATTATAATCTGTAACAAGTTAAAGCATGTTTAATATAATAAGAAACTTTATTTGCAAAATCATGCCCGAAGGCTAATTGCTTTTACAATCAAGTATAATACACATTGCAATACAGTAACAGGAGACAGGTAACAACTGTCTGGAAAAAACTTTTACTTCTACTACTACGCTAGCTATTATGGGGTTCGACTTCTTCTTTGAAGGCAGTAGATAATGAATAGTCCCACTTTCTGCATAATTAGTGGGTTTTGTGATCTTAGTAGAAATGCAGTTTTTTGGTGATCTTCTAAATGACGAAAGGATGGAGAAATTGTTGTAACTGTCTGAAATAATCTGTTTCTTTCGGTCTCATAGTGAGGACACTGGCTAACAAAATGTCTTTCATTTTCCACTGCATTCATTGTACAATATTTACATAATCTCTCGTGCACAGGTAGTTTTCTATATATATATATATCACATGTGATACGGAATCTAGTGAAACTCATCCATGGTCGACTTCTATAGAGTGTCTGCACATGACGTCACAACCGCCATCTTGGTTGGTGAAGTCAGACCCATGATATTACATATTGTCATGACATTTGGTCAAATCTCATATTTTACGTTCCTGACGCTGCAAATCTACCTGGCAAGTTCTAAGGTTAGTCATCCAATATGGTGGGCATAATCACGTGAGTGTAAACACCCTATAGATGATTTACTGTACAGCAAGATTACGAAAATCCAGAAGTTGCCTACGTTCTATTTGTACACGATGGAAATACAATATTCTTGTCGGTTAAGTGTAAAGAATTACAGTCAAAACACAAACAGTGACTTGGGCCTTTAGGTCACCATAAAATAACTAGAGTTCCACGATCTCATGATCATGCCCTCGTCAAATGACACTGTTCAGTCGATCATATTCTGACCAAAATGGCAGTCTTATCTTATCCTACGAAAGAAAGCCATCCTAGCATTTCAGAAAAATTAGTTAAGTAGCTTCACAAAGTCATGTACACGTATTTAATATATAAGGGCGCACATCATGCCGGTAGCCAGGATTTTGAATGGGGGGTTCTTCCCACTGCTTGAGGGGACCAGCGAGCGTCGTCGAAAATTTTGAAAAATGAACCTTCTGTCAGTTCTGAAATGGCATTTCCTGCGTTTTTGAGAGGATTTCAGAGAAGAAATCAGAGATAACTTTTTATTCAAGGACAAAGTAGGCAGTTTTTATACGATTCCAGGCCCGCTGATGATACAAATCAGTCGATCTAAAGAGAAATCTTGGACCTTTAGATAAAAAGTTGACCTTTGAGCGTTGTGGGGGGTTCTTCCGAACCCACTAATTGAGCATTGTCCTAGCCTCAAAAGAATAGTGTAATATTCACAAGGCCACACTCACATGCCACGCCCCGTACATGTGATGGAGAGAGAGGAGTGTGGAAAACCCCCATCTAGTCCAGGGCTCGAGGCGGTGCTTCCCCAGGGGGTTTCTGAGTCATTAAATAGGTGGGTGGGTGTATAGGAGCTAACTGAACCCCCAAACCCTATCCAACTTCCCATACCATTCAGCATTCTCACACCCCCGGATACCTTTTCATTTCCCCTTATTGTCACCAACCACCCCCCTTCGGTACAAACTTCGCGCTCACTCTTTACCCTTCTATACCTTTCATTAGCATATCCTCCTCATTTGCATATGTCCTCTGATTGGCCATCTCAAAATTGGGTTAATTCCATCACCTGCCCAGTGCACGCTGGACAGGTATACCATTGTGAATAGGCCCAAAACAAGGTAGATGACGAGTCCCTATATTTTGGTACTACCTATTAATAGCTAGAGCCAGTCTACGGTACAAATTAACTGTTTTCCATCAGCACATTGGATTTTTGTCTCAGATATCTGTATGGTATGGATTCAACTTCCTACAATTAAAAATTGACCAGGAAACTGACTTTAAAATCCAATTTTCATTTTGGAAAAAAAAAAAAATTGTCTTCTGACAGTGGTCAACATGCCGAAAATGGACAAAGATGTCTGTTGCCATGCCGGAGGGTGGATGGCAGATAAATATGAATAGAGGAGACAAGAGAAGGCTCGGATTTAATGTCTTGTTTCTTACTTTAATGCAGTGATATGTGATGGTGGCTGTGTATATGTGATGTTTTCACTGAATCAAAACCATTCGTACAATGATTGAGTAATAATTTCAAAATGTAGGAACCTTGTTTTTTTCGGCCCGCCTTGTTTTTTTTGCCCCCTCGCATTAGATTTGGAGTCTGCGGAGGATGTCATCCATAAAATTTACATGCTGTGGCCTTATATAAAAAGACTAACTTGGAGACTGCCCTGTGCTTCTGATGATCACATGTAGTTACAATGTAGCACGATAATACAAAAGTTTTCAACACTCACAAATGCAAAGAAATCAGAAAATTTGAATACTTCTTTTTAAAAGACTTTAATGCGAAAATTATTAATTTTGTAGGAACAGCTTTGTGAAACTGTGAGACAGCAACCTACAACTCAGAATGTGTGAAAGCTAAAATATATTGAATATAATGACAACACAGGATATACATAATTCCATGTAGATTCAATTCCAAACTGCATTTAGTTTACATGACAGGTGAATGTAGATATAGATACAATGTATTAGACATAAGAAAAATACACCAGGGCTCAAAATACTGAATGCATATGCAGCTTAGTGCAGGTAGGTAAAATTGGAGCTATGCAGGTACTAGTATATCTACCTGCACTAGGCCACAGCAAGTAATTCCTCTGGATGACATCAGCGCGCACATTAATTTTCGCCTGATTTTGGAAAAAAAAACAAGGAATTTTATTGCCCACGAGCTCTGACAGTGGTCAACATGCCAAAAATGGGCAGATATGTCTGTTGCCATGCTGGAAGGCAGATAACTATGAAGAGAGGAGACAAGAAAAGGCTCTGATTTAATTTTTGTTTCTTACTTTGATGCAGTGATATGTGATGTTGGCTGTGTATAAGTGATGTTCTCACTGAATCAAAACCATTTGTACAATGATTGAGTCAAAATTTTAAAATGTAGGAACCTTGTTTTTTTTGGCCCGCCTTGTTTTTTTTTTGCCTGCTCACATTAGATTTGGAGTCTGCAGAGGATGTCATCCATAAAATTTACTTGCTGTGGTCTAATACAAAAAAAAGTATTGCTAGCCCTGTTAGTGTTAGATGAACTGATGGGCTTTATACAATCCTTGGGACAATGCAAGGTAGAAAGTAATTTTGAGATTGCTACAAATGCAGTGGCAAAATTCATATCTGATAGAGTACAGGTTACATGTATAGGAAAAATGCTTGGAGGGTATATACATGTAATAGGAAAGGTGTATTTGTACATACATGTAATACATTCTTTAAAGAGAATTTTGCATCAAAAGTCAAGTTTCTGAACCGTCAAATGTCATTTTATCTTGTACTTTTAAAAATCATGAAATATTTACTAACCCTTTTTCATAAAGACGCAAGCAAAAAACTGTCTCAAAAATTTGTGCTAAAATCTTATGAACCAAAAATGACAATGGTTTCACCTTTTTGTCTTTTTATTTTTGATCAGCAAGTATGAATATGTAGAGGTGCAAAGAATATACTGATTTCTAAAAAAATCAGACAGTTATGGACAGAGATAGAAAAGGATACACTTCTATATATGTGGGTCATAAATGAACAAAAAAGTTCTAATATACTGCTATGTACAATGAAGACGCTACATACAACTCTATACAAAACAGCAACATTTTCTTACAAACAACAAGACATTAGCTTGCTGACATCACCCTTAAAAACACCTGTTATTAAATGATAATGGCAAAATTCGACTATGTACCTTCTGCACACTAATTATAAGAGGAGGTACGAGTAAATCGAGATTAGCGATACTTTAAAACATGAATATTCGTGTTAGAAAACTTGACTTCTAGAGGTGCACCACTTCTTCATCTGGAGACATGGGAATCGCGCTGCTGCGGCAGTTGGTGCGGACTTCACGCTGAAATGGAAAAACGGCAAGTGTTAGGACAATTACAAACGATCGCGATGTGTACAAAAATTTTTACAGACACTCAAGGCTCTCCCTGATGTTGGTGCCTCCATGTTTGATTTGTTTGAGCACTCAATCATCTTCGTTTCGAGTGAAATTTGCAACTCATTTTTCCTCATTGACGATTTTCAAAGAATGGGGTTTTAATTTCATTAATTTCACCATGCCAGCCCCTAAACCAATTTTCTGGCTCTTGGATGTTAATTTTTGGTACATACAAACAGCCCGGCTGGGCCCCGGTTCGGAAATGTGACCTAAGCATTAGGGAGAGCCCGGCTGGACACTTCAATAATGTCAAAACTTCTAGTTCTAAGGAGGTCTGCACACATTAAGACATTTTTGTATTGATTGAGTTTAGTTGTCTACTAATCTCAACATGAGATGTATTCCTCCAGTTTTCAGCAAAAAAAAATCTTTTCCGAATGTGTGCAAACCCCAATGTTTCCATTAGTTGTGTTACTATTAAGAATAGAAGTTGTTAAAACAGAACAATTTTTCAAACAAGCAACTATCACTGATTTACTAGCCCTGCAAGCAAGGGTTAAAGCACACAGCATTACACAGCAATAAAGTACAAATCACCTCATGTGTTAGCATGATTTTTTAGGAAGATAAAAACACAAAACAAAGAAAAGCCCACAGCACAAAAACAAGATTGCCGCCTTACTGAGAACTCTGAGTACGTGCCACAGGACATCAAACTTGTGCTAGTACCAGAGGAGACTCCACTCAGTGTGGAGGTGCTGAAGCCGTGGCTCCTGTCCGGCGTGTTTCTTTCCGCCAGCGCCTTCCTCAGTCCGCTGCCGGGAAGAGGCGGGCGGTTCTTCGGAAGACGGTTGCCCGGAGTTTTCGGCGTCTTCTGTAACACAACAGTCTGGCAGATTTAGTTAAATGTTATCTAATATTGTGTCATCTTCATTGATTGCATTCTTATCATGCTCCTACGCTGCCATATCTAAAGCATTTCTGGAACTAATACGCATCATCTCTTTCTGGGTAGTTAACACAATCACAAAGTCCTGTCTCTGGGGCCCATGGGGGACCAGCTACATGTATTTACACAGTTTAGGTCACAAATAAGCAGATAATTAGTGCAGGGAATTTCTTTTTTGGAAATAGGTGCACTGGTGCACCAAACCTAAAAAATTGGGTGCACAGAATTTTTTTGGGGTGCACCATATGAAATAAAACCTAACTACAGATGTTACTGCTCCTCTTCTGAGCTTGAATCAGAAATGAGATCTAACTTTTTTATTATTTTTTTGAGGCTTAGATGCCAAGAATATCTTATATACTATTAGCGTTACACATTTAATATGTACAAAAATACCTACAATTATATCATTTGGGTGTAACAGTTCACCTACAGAAAAAAATTGGGTGCACAGCTCCAATTTCGAGTGCACTAAGGTGCACATGCACCCAGTAGTTTGAGCCCTGTAGTGTAAATATTGGTACAGTACCAGTATTTTGAACCTATACATAATCAATTTATGTGGTACAGTACTGGTACCGTGTACTGGTACTGGTACCCAGCCCTAGCTATCATCGTACCTTGCAGGAGCGGGGAGGGCGGTGCAGGGGTGAGGCAAACATGACACTGGAGTGGTGCATGGGGGTCTTTTTGGCAGGGCTAGGAGATGGACCAAAGGTCCCGTCCATCTGTGAACACATGTGCTTCAGTTAATACACAGTGAAAAGATCTATCATTATAGTTAGATACATCAGGCAACACCAATTTAACTTGTTGTTGGTTCTCAGATTTTTTCAGAAAAAATATGAAGCAACAGAGTGAAAAAAATAAAAACACGCTGCTGTCTAGGCATCCTTTTATAGCCCCAAATGCTTCGATAGAAGCCATGCAGTCAACACAAAGGCTGGGATAAAATTCAAACAATTAATTTTGAACTTTTAATCAAACGACTGCACTGACAGATGGAAAACCTGTAACAAGTAGGAAGAAAAGGACTTTCCTCAACGGTTGGGGGCAAAATAAAAGCTGATTCAGAACCAGAATCTTTTTTTTTTTTGCAAATCAGAAAAAAATGAAGAGGCAAATCCAAGAACCAAGAAACTAAATTGGTATGGCCTCAGTTAGATACATCAAGTTCTATCATTAACAGAGATGAACACAACACATAGTGCAGGTCTTCTTACCAAAGTGTAGACCTAATAACAAAATGTAAGGTAGGAATATGTACAACTTTACGTGCAATCTGCATATAGTAAAGAAGTGGAACAAAGTAATTTGGATAATTGTGCATTACAGATACATGGAAGAAACAGCTCCCTGCAAGAAAATGCATTTAAGTGTTTCATATAACATATCTTTAATATGCAAATATATTTAAGATAGTTTTAACATTGTTATGGAACATACAAACCTAATTTTTTACTTCAGTCTTTGCTATGGAATTTTTAATTATCACAAACTATGTATGGATAGTCTTTAGTCTTCTCTATATGATATTGATAAAACTTATTTGTAAAAACTAACTAGAGAATGAAACTATTTTTTACCAAGACCAAAGAAATCTACCTTTCTCTTTGTGGGAGTCTTGGTGGGTGTTGTAAGGAAGCGCCGTTTTGGAGTTGTAGCAGGCTTGGATCCATTCTTCTGCTCTTCCTCTAGCTGCTTTGCCTTAGCCAAATGCTGCAGAAAGTACATTTTATAGAAAAATTATCAAACATTGACTGGTGAGTTCGATTCCCGGCCTAGTCATACCAAAGACTTCATAAATGGTACATACTGTTTTTTCTGCTCTCTAGCTCCATGATCTGACACCTGAATGATAAAATGTTGTACAAATTCTAACATTGACATTGAAAATAAAAGTGTCCTCATGAAAGTTTTACTTTATTGAACTGTGTTGTATAAGTTGGACCCCTATATAGATATGTCACTGAAGCCTAAAAAGAAAAAAAGGATAATCCCTACCTACCGACCCCATTTTTTTAGGACTGAAACAGGAAACACGAGGTTTTTTTTTTCATAGGCCTTACTTACCCTTCGGTGTTTTTCTTGCTCCTTCTCTTCATTGTGCTTGTTCCACTGTGCCCTGACATAGTCCAGGAAAGGACAACCGTCCACCAGGAAGGGCTGCCCAGTCTTCTGTTCGTACTCCTTGATGGCCCTGGACACTTCCTCCTCAACCTATACATGCACGGTGGGAAAGATTGACTGTCAATTGCCAAAAATTTGGGGTGGTTTGTTTTCTTTGTTTGTTTGTTTAGGATCTCCATTAGCGTGAATTTCACACTACTCTTCCTGCAGTCCGTAGTGAATAATCAGATACCGGTAAGTATTTGGACCGTCGCACACTGGGGCATGCCCCTACTCTTTTTCGAAAAGTGTGGTGGGATCTTTAACGTGCGTGCCGTGTGTGGCTCTCCCCAAACACGGGACCTTTTATGTCTGTGGTAAGCCTGGTTCTCACAGTAACCTCTCATTACGAAGTCATCACACCATGAACAAAATATTAGGCTGTCTTGCATTGCATTTAATGCCATGACAACTGTTTCAAGGATGATCTCAAACACAACACTTAAAAATGAATTTCCAGTTCACCACCCGTACGTGTGAGTACGAGCGACGCGCGTGCCCCGTACGTACCGTACGGAAGAAGCACATGTAGGCACGGCCTCCTTACGGTAAAGTTGCAATCGTACGTTGTAAGCACGTACAACTCACCACTTGCGCAACGTACGGTGCATGCAACCGCTCACGGCCAGACGTGGCGTGCAGACCACAATCTTACACCTTGCAAAACCGTGCAAGTGACGTGCGTCGATGCCACTCCTTCCCCACGTTTTCAGAAAAAACGTAGCAGGCGTAGCCTCCCAAAAAACGTACGGACAAAAAGGTTGTGACCGAGGCCTAATGCATGCTACTGCTCAGTACACAGAAATTACAGATTTGTTTTTGTTCCTCATGTCTATTTTTTTGTGTGTTGTAGGTTGTATAATGTGCTGTACTATGTTCGTGTAGTGGGTAAGGCCATAGTACCAGACATCGTTTATTTACTGATATTGAACTGACCTTGGGCAGAAGTTTGTGGACTTTCTTCCTCTCTTTCTCCTCTTGGAGCAGGCCGCCGCCTCGATTGTTGTAACGTGACGGATCATTGGCTCGTCTCTGGAAAAAAAACACAACAATGGTACCACAAATCGTGACTATTCGTGTGGTTTCTAGTAACACCTGTAACTGCTCTCAAGTCCCAAATAAACATGTTTTTATTTTTACATACGTAACTCTACTAAAATATCCATAGCTTTAAGTGTACACAGATCCAATTTTGCATGCAAAAAAAGTGAATTTCAAGCACTGGACAAGTAATATATCTACGCGCGTAGTAGCGTGCTCTAGTCCAGTGGTTAGCAATCCTCCCTCTGGACTAAGAGGTTGGGAGTTCGAATCCCGGCTACGTTGTCACTCACCCGACATGTACGCTACTGTTTAGGGTCGCAGTCCTTAGGACAGGACGTTAAGCCGTGGTCCACTGTTCATTTTGCTTGTCAAAAAGAGCTAGGGGAATTTCCCCGGCACAATGAACCTGTAAGTAAATACTGTACATAGCGTCTGTCTTCTCTGTCACAAGTGGAAGAGTAGCTCTTCAATGAGCTAAACTGGTTCGAGATCACTTTCACTTTCTTTTCTGATTCCTTTTTAACTGAAACTGAGACAATCAGAAAGTTCCAATTTACGTTTACATGTACCAATAACGACACTGATTGTTTCTCTGTACGAGTATTGGTGTCATATTGTATTTCATGACCTTTTTCTCCTCACCTCAAATTCGAGCATCTTTTTCCAGAGGTCCTCCCACTTCTCCACAAACTTGAGGATATCCCTGTTACTGTCGTAGTACTGCTTCAGCCTGGCCACCTGCTGGTCATGGATCTCCAACAGGTCCTCAGTGAAGTCATCTGACACAAAACAGATAGATACTCCTTTTTAGACACTGAACAAGACTATTTCTTGAGAGGGGTGAAGGAAGCCATATACATCAGGGCCCATCACCCTACATTGAACCGCGACGGGGGTCGACATCGTCTACATGACACCTTTGACCCAGTGTTGATGTCACACTTCAAAGAAGCCACGTGACAAGCTTCACTGGGTCAGTCTACTGAGGAAGACCAGAGTGACTGGTCGAAAGCTCTAGGTGAGAGAATTTTTGTGTTGGACCAAAAGTTTTAACTTTATGAAACATATAACTAGTCTACCAACACAGATGAACTTTCATGATAGTCAGCCAATCTAGATCAAGGCTGGGGGAAGGTCATGAATGTGTGACAGGGGCTTTATGAAAGGATTCATTTTTCAGTGGTCGAAATACTTTTTTCCAGTGCTCTGCAATATTGCAGAAGAGTCAAATTTTGTTCTGCAATTTGGAAATACTTTCTGCAAATACACAAGCCTCCATACTACAATCTTGCAAGTTTATAAGCATGAACTAGTGATTGATATGCAAATTAGTGAAGACAAATTTTTGGAAGTCCAAAAGGAAACAAAAGATAAACAAGTCAAGACAAGGTTGATGTAAATTAGTGAAGAAGCTCCTGTTGTTTCAGAACAGGAGCTTAAGTGTTGTCTGTCCTTGGGGCCAAGAGCACCAAATCCCAAGTGCCAATTTTTCCTGCTGCAAAATTGCAGATTGTATAAATTTTTCAGATTGCAGACAGGTATTTTGAACACTGTTTTTGGAAAATGTGCCACTGTAAAAAATTTCTTTTCTTTTTTTAACTCACCACTGAAGAACTCTGTGAACTGGTTGCGCTGTTCCTGGCTGAAGTAACACTTGTTCCAGAGCTGGGTGATCTCAGCGCGGAGGCCCTCCACGTAACGCCGGATGTTCTGTAGCTTCAGTTCCCGACACCGCTCAATCTCATCACGGAGCTGAACAACATTGGAACTTATACTTTAGGTCAACATCAAAAATACATTCTGTGCACACTAGCTGACCTATTTGTTATGTCATTCACACCCAAAGTTACCCCGGGTGCTATCCTCCATACTTTTCGCCCGCTCCCAAATGTTGCTGTCTACCACGGAGTTTTAACTTGCTGACATATGTAACGTCTGGAATCTGTATATCTCTTCAAATTTGAACGAACACGCTGATTGGTCCTACTTGCGCGATGTCATCACCAGCCGTTACATATCAGCAAGTCCAGACTCCATGATAGCCAGCGACATAGGGAGGGGGCAAAAACTAGTGCTGCATACCTAAACCCAATTTTAGGTTCAGGTCTGGATTCAAGTCCAGAGGTTTAGGTTCAGTTCCGGACTTGAAAGTCCGGACCTAAACCCATGGCATATACAAAATTGCATGTTGGCAACCTTGCAATGTTGTCTGGGTGAAACTTTGGCCACGTAACGGTAACATGGAGGCCGATACTTGGCGATGCCCGATGACAATGTTTTCTTCATTTTGCAATCTACGGAAGGTTTTAGGTGGTATGGAAAGAAAAGGGGTATGTGAAATGGTCTTTTATGGTAATAAGTCCGGACTCGGTTCTTGACTTTTAGGTTTTTTTGGACTTGAACCTAAACATTCTTACAAGTCCGGATCCAAGTCCAGTGAACCGGTATGCACCACTAGCAAAAACTATAGAGGATGGCACCCAGGCTAACTGAAAGTTTGCAAATAATAATAAAAGTTTGAAACAACAAAATGTATTTAACATAAAGCTATCCAAAGTTAACCAAAGGAGACGAAGCATGAATATACAACATTACCGGTTACTTGTCAAACAAAGGAAAATATATCAGTTCATTGTTGCTTTCCCATCTTCCCTCTTCTCGTAGCAAGAAGACTTTTTACTAAAGTAAACTTTTAAAAAGAAATCTATAATTTACTTAAAAACATCTACCCTTGGATTCTCTTCAGATAGTAATATATACATGCAAATTTTGACCAATAAAGTTATAAGATCTGGTGACTTCTTACCGCTTTTAAGACCCTTGGTTTGAATCCCTGGTTGTCCTTGTTGAAGGCGTCTCTCTCTGCCTGTTCAATCATCAGTCTGTCCCACAGTGTGGTCACCTGTATCCTCAGGTCCGAGGCCAGCGCGATCAGGTCGTTCTGCTTCTTCTCCAACTGGTGAAACAATGCAGTGTTACATTTAGTTTTGACCACAATGTATACAAACAATGGAATATCTAAGAATGTCTTGTTGCCATGTATTTTTTTGTCTGAATGAAGACCCTACTTTATCTGTCAAGGTTAGTGCTGTGTACCTAAATCGACATTTAGGTTAAGGTCTGGATTCAACTCCAGAGGTTTAGGTTCAGATCTTGACTCGTAAGTCCAGACCCAAACCCATGGCATATACAAAATTGCTTGTTGGCATACTTGCAATGTTGTTTGGGCACGTAACATGGAGGCCGACACTTGACAATGCCTGATGGCAATGTTTTCTTCATTTTGCAGCACAGATTTTGTGATTTCTGGGAGGTTTTAGGTGGTTAAAAGAAAAAGGGGGTTATATATATATATGTGATATGTTTTTTTTTTTAAATAAGTCCGGAATTGGTTCTTGACTTGAGGGTTTTTTTACTTGAACCTAAACATTTTTACAAGTCCGGAACCAGTCCAGCAAACCGGTACACAGCACTAGTCAAGGTGGCCGTCTTAGAGTTTGACTCGTGTACTTACCTCTGCACACAGTGCCTGCAGAGCCGCCATGTTTTCGCTGGAGAGAACGAAGGACTCCTCGTCCTCACACACAACGTCCCGCTCGAAGGAGGAGTTAGGAGTCAGGTCCAGGTTGTCCAGGAACGTGATGATCTTCACTTTGGTCTCCAGGAAGACTTCTTGCCTGGTGTTCTATCAGATATAAATTAATAAAGAGTAATAACATCTTAGGCCTAGGGAAAAAATTATGTGTTTCTGGTTCTCAATCCTAGAAAAAACAGTGCCAACCCTCAAATTCTTTTGTCTTAGGCCTATTTTGGGGTGGACCCCAGCGAGGGACATAAACTCTTCCAGACAGTACAGATGACTCTTTTTCATGTTTTAATTTTATTAAATGTAAATTGGTGTACTAGTAATTGTTTAATATGTGTATTTGTACCCTTTAATGTGGATAATGAGAATCCAGACCTTTTAGTTTTAATTGCAAGAACAACATAATTTAGACCAAGAAAAGTATTCGGGTAGTTTGAATAAAGATTGAATTGAGTTCACCATCGAACTTTCCCACCATGCAAACTGGTGTCTCCAATAACTTAAACTGAAACCATGATTTGCATGCATATGGTGTATCTTGGACCCATGGGTGTGATAAAGATTATCAACTGATTTTGAGTATGAATTCTGCATAAGACTAAGAGTGTTCAAACCTTTTCTGTCTGTAGCGTGCTGATGTGTTGTCTCAGTTTGGCCAGCTGATCGTTCGAGGGGACGGTGTCCGGTGCAATGTAGAAGGGCGTGGTGCACAACGCGTCGCACAACTGCTGCTCCTTCTCCCTCAGGGAGCTGAGCTGTTTCATCCTGTCGTGTTTCTCCTTCGCCAGGGTGTCCACGCGCGTCCGCAGCTCCTTCTCCAGGGTCAGTATGGACAGGCCTTCCTCTGGCTGGAGTAACATGGTGGAGAAATGGACTGTGATCAATAGGGCCTAAACACAGGGCTCAAAATTCATTTGGGGGAATAGGTGCACCTGGTGCACCCAACCTAAAAAATTTGGTGCACAAAAAAACTTCTTGGACCATGTAAGATTAGCCTGGGTTCCATAGCATAGCCCATAGCACACTGGACACAAAGTCAGTGAGCCTGGGACTGGCCGTGAGCCTTGGGAAAGGCTCTCCAGCATAGGGAGAAGATGTGATTGATGGCCCCTCACACCACAGGTAGTCTGTTACATGGTATCACCATTGGTCAGCAGGAGACAATCTTGGGCTCAACAGTTAATCATTAACCATTCAATTTTCTAGATGTATTCGGAGTTTATATTCCAAAATAACAGCAGAACTTAATTTAACAGTAGAAGTAGTACAACACAGGCTTTCCTGTTTGTTTAGGTAACAGTCCTCTAACAAACCTGGACAAAATTCACCTTTAATATCTAGTTTTATATCATCTGCTGGTGGCCACTATCGAAGATTCAAAGATAAATCTGGGAGGTTTCAACCAATCATAGCAGAGGTGTAAAATTGCTTCCTGCTGTTCCACCAATGGGGCCTTACGCTCAGTATTGAGCGTTCGACTGGCAGGTCTATCTGACCCTACCAGACCCAGGCTTACTGAGATACTTTGTGTCCAGTGTGCTAAATTGGGTTTGGAACCCTGGGGCTATATAAGATAAAATAAGTAGAATGCCAGCAAAAACTATTTTTCACTTTGGGGAAAAAAGAAAACACAACATTTTTTTCCTAGGCCTTACCTCGTAAACTGGTACATGCAGCTCTTTGCTGATTTTCAGCAACTCTTTGCCGCAGTCTTCAACACTCTGTAACAACCGTGTTCGCAGGTTTTCTTCTTCTGCAACCATCTCTTCTAGCAAGGCCTGGTTCAAACAGAAACAAGTATGTGAAATATGAACTGAAGCCAACTTGCACTTGTATTCATAATAAATTAAAAGGTATGAAATGGACATTTAAATGAATTAGAAAAATTCATATTTCTTATGAAACTTGACAAACCAGTAGTCCTATATGCTCGTACATCTATAACTGCGTCAAGAAGCGAGAAGAAGTTGAACATGTACATAGTAGATCACATTAAAGTCATTGCTGTATCCTTTTCCCTGTCTATTCATGACCTGTACTTAGCTTGTTAGTACGATAAAGGTCTTTCATTCATTAAATATAAAATAATTGTAAGTTTCAGTGACTCTTCATATGCTAAAGGAAGTCTTGTTCAAGTAAATGTATACATGTATACATACCAGAATAAGGCAGAAACATCTACAAAAAGAGGGCTTGAAATATTTTTTCTGCATACCAGCACTTTTTCATGCAACTTGTAAGTTTGGAAATTACCTGCACCAGACAAATTTTACCTGCACCACTCAGAGTCATACTAAAAACTGTTCAGAAACCATTACCATTATTTTTTATTTATAGTAAAAAAAAATAAAATGATAGTCTACTTCATAGGTAAGGGAATGCAGCAAAATATAAAAATCCACATACACCTAGCCTACATTTGTAATATATTTTACTAGTAGTAGTACAGTGTAGTTTCCATTTACTAAGTAAATGGACCAGTTCAGGTTAGGTGATGACCAGAGACTAGACATCAGAAATACAATGTAAACTGCACTATCACTATTAGTCTATCACTTATAATGCTGCATTAATATTATAGACCCTGTCCAAGCTATTGTGACGAGTTGGCGTCACTCCAATACCAATACAATTATTGTATTGGTATTGGAGTGACACCAACTCTTTGAAATTCTGCTGGTTACAGTACCATCTGCTGTGCAGCTGCAGCCAGATATTGATTACAAATAGATTTTGTAATGTCACATGATTTGATCATGAGTTGTCTACTCAGAAAACCACACCAAGGTTACTCTAGACTAGAGTACACATGGGAGGATGGTAACCTGGCCAATTATACAGCAACAGCACATTAGCTCACAAAAACAAGACAACTCCATTGTCACTCAATCAACTGGGGTTAATTGATTGTGAAATGCTCTCAGACCTGTACTAATATTACTGTCTGATCTATCATGCATATGCAAATTTGTGTGAAAATTCAGAGTCCCACATTCCCAATTAAAATAAAGGCATATGTATAAATGCAACTTCAGGCTGGCAAAACAAAAAAAAAAATATTCTGGAGTGGATGACAAAATCTGACATTTTTTTGCAGTCATGAATGCCATAATTTCATACCCGAATCAGGGTTCTCAACAGGATTTTTTCACAGCGTAGGGGTCAGGTGCAGAAGGGCAACATTGAGTCTAAAAAACTGACCACAGCAGGGGGTCTGACATTCTCCCCAAAAAAATTGTGCAACTCATAACCCCCCGAGACACTATTTCCTGCTTATTGTTATTCAGTTATTGGTGGACATATTTGTTTTCCCTTTATTTTGTTATAGCTTCATTCTAAAGTTATATTTTCATTGATTGAAAGATTTATGAAGCTTCTGCCCCCCCCCCCCAAACACCCCTACGCTGGTTGAAACTGTGTACTAGTAGAGGGCTAAATCACACATTCACAGCGCAACGGGTTACAGATCACAGCGTAGGGGACCCCTACACTCAAACAGCCTGGTGAGAACTATATACAGTACCTGAATCATTTGGTATAGTATATTTATGATTTTCTGTCAGCTACGTCACATTTTTTCCGCACAGACCTCAGTATGGCATCAAGGATTGATTCAAATTATTGCAGTGAAAAGAAATGACCAGAATATTTTACTTAGTTTTGCCGCCCTGTTTTTTTTTTGCTCACCTGTAGATGATGCAGCACAACTTTCCTTCTGTCTTTCCTCTGTTCCTCCATGATTCCAATCTCGTCCCAGATGTTCTGTAGTCTGCCCATGGTGGCCTCCAGGCTGTGGGCCAACTCGTTGGCCATGGTCTCTGCATTACTTTTACTACACACCAAAATAATGTCAAACAGTTGGCATGACTTGAATTTACACTATATAAATTATTGCATCAAGAACTCAAATCTTTACCGGGCAGTCATAATATTTGATTGAATGCCAATGTTATGAAACATTTTAACATGAACTTAGCAAGATCATTTTGATATAAATTATGTGTACTAGTAGTGTATATAAGGCTTGGAAGTTGGACTCGGTTGAACTCGGAGTCAAAATTTATTTTTTTTAGAGTGGAACACACATGATTATGATTCGCCGATTATGCATTTTCGTCGACTTCAAGTTAGTTACATTGATGCAGATGTTTTCCATCAAATACCACAATTTACGGAAGGATACAAACTGCAAAATTGTAGTGATCGTGAGCAGTTACTAGTAGTATACGTTATTTTTGTACCAGTACACACAGGGCACGCCATGCACTGGCATGTCTACTACAACGATCATCGCTGGCTCGCCACAACAAATTATGTTATACAGGGATTATCTTCTACAAATCGGGCAATATCATTCCATGTGCAGATAATACACAAATGCAAGCAAAACTTACCTGCTTGTAGCCATTGCTACATCACGTGTAAATGGCGAAAATTAAGTTTCCAAAAGATACAGACACAGATATGCTTCCAGTCAAGGTGGTCAAACCAAACTTTGTCTGTTACTAATCCGTTTCAAACTAGGTGCATTACAAAACCTCCTGTGATTGGTCGATGGGGGAGCTACAAGACTAGCTGTGATTGGTCAGTACGCGCGGGGGTCCCGTCATGCACTACGATTAGCCCCGGTGCATGACGGGTAGATAGTCTCGCACCAATGTTTTTTCGGACTGTTTCTTAGCAACGTAAATCGAGCGGAGAAAGTTGATTTCATATCGCTATAATTTGTCCGAGTGTTATGATTTTTTCTTGGTGAAGTATAATTTAGGTGTTTACATGATGGCTGCGACCACAGGCGGCGGGGAAAGTATTCTGGATGCAAATTCACCCGGTAAGAAGGACTTTGTCAAACCAAGGGGGAGGGGGACCCAAAAAATGAAATCTGCAGAAGTTTGCAAAAAGTTTTGAAAACTTTGTATAGGGTGGATGCTCACACGATGAAGTATAGAATGAAGTTGTTTATTTAAAAAAAATGATTGTAAAATATTCTGTGCATTCTTTACTTTAGCAACGAAAAATTAAAAACTGTAATTTACAGAGTTTTGAATGTTACTGCAGATAGAGCTCAGCATGTTTATATACAAATTTTATAAAGAACTTTTTACCTGCATACAAACCTGCATACACATGTACAACCTTCGGGAATAGTGGAAGCCTTCCCCACTAATGGAAGGTATCAGGACACTTTGGCCCTGGACAGTTTGGCCAGACGTTTCAGCCCCAAGTCTAGGACGATTCGGTCCGAGGCCGAGGAAGGTTTGGCCCCATAGTAGTTATTGAAGTTAAATCATCATCATCAGTCTTGTCGTCCTGACGGACGATCTGCTCCAATCAAGTACGATGGTTAAATAGTATTAAAACATATATAGCAAACAGAATGACCTGATTTCATATCTTAGCAAACAAATTCTTTCACACGCAAATTCCAACATTTTTTGCACGTGAAAACAACTTTTGAAAATCACTAAAATATTGACAAAAAAAGGCTTTTAGTAGTCTAGAATGCAACAAAATGATGTTCAATTCTGTTTTATGTCTTTTTTCCCAACTTTTAAGCTTAAAACGGCAAAAACTTTGTAAGTTCCTTGGGAATCAGGTAATTTACATATTTTCACACGCAAGTTTTCACGCGCAAATTTTTCATGCGCACAAAACCTCCATCCCGTCCAGACCTCCTATGCAAAAGTTGGTATTACAGTGCAAATCACCTGGATGGTGAAAACCTACACGTATATTTTGACATGATCGAGCTGTAGTGAATCCGCATTGCGCTTAGTGTAGCTGCTAAAACAGTCATCATGCTACACCTCTGTTTTTATGAAGGGTGACAAACAACAACTAAATCATTTTCTTTTCCAGCAAACAAGTACTTACTGGAACTACTGGACGAGAAAGGACTAAAAGATACGGAGCCTTCAGAACAGCGAATGGTCACCGTGTTCCGTGTCTTGGACGACCTTCTGCCTCATCTTGGTCACTACTCAAAAATAGCACAACTTATCCGGGATGAGCTCTATGGTAGGATACTTCATGTAGGCTTCATTAAAAACTCATGAAAATTTAAAGTGATAACTAGAAAGGCCAATATTTGCTTTGGAGCAAATACAGCGATGGGTTCACCACATTTTACGACATGGCAGGGAAAGAATGAGAAACACAAGGGAAAACAATGATTTACATTGATATAACTATAATATGAAGTAACATACAACTAAAACAACAGTTGGATAGCTATTCCCTACTTTATTGGTTAGGATTTTTAATTGCATAATGGAAACTGTTGATTTTCAAAATAAAATAAAAAACGTTCATGCCCCGCATTCCAATGCTGGAGCAGAAAAGCTTGAAATACCTACCAAAACACTTGAATAAAGACATACTGTCAGTATGGAAATGCTCTGTGCAGGTGTTAATCAAGTTAAATCCCAACAGCCAATCAGCAAGAAATGCTCTGTGCAGGTGGAAATGCTCTGTGCAGGTGTTAATCAAGTTAAATCCCAACAGCCAATCAGCAAGAAGTATAGAGGAAAGCTGCATGCCTATTGGTTGATGCCCTGCATTCCATTGTGATGACTCATGCCCAGACGTGGTAAACGCGGCACACTAACACAGTAATACATTTGCTATAACACAGCCAAAAAACTCAAATAAAACCATTCTAAAAGCCTGTATCACAAAAATTTAAAAAACGCCTAGGGGTATTTGCCCACTGTACCTCCATACCAAATTTCAGGACCTTAGGCCCTAAAATGAAGAAGCTGAATCCATTTAAAAAATGGCAGGAGAAGGAGGAGAAGGAGAAGAAACATCAGAAAAAGCAATATGGGTTCACCACCACTTCGTGGTGGCGTGGTGAACCCATAAAAAGACATAAAAGTGTGAAAACTTCGGCTACACCAATTTAATTTGTTGGTTCTCGGATTTTTTCACAAAACATATGAAGTGACGGCGCGAAAAATAAAAAAAAGGTCTAGGCATTATGGCCCAAAATGGTACGATAGAAGCCATGCTGGGTTAATATTTAAAAAAAATTGAATTTTGAACTTTTAATCAAACCACTGCACTGATAGCTGGAAAAACTGTAACAACTAGGAAGAAAAGGACTTTCCTCAACTGTTGGGAGCAATATGAGCATATTTGAGTTGATTCAGGAACAGAATCTTTTTTTTTTTTTTTGCAAATAAGAAAAAAATGTAGAGGTGAATCCGAGAACCAACAAATTAAATTGGTATGGCCTTATTTTGAAAAATGTGTTGCTATTAAGTTGTAGCCATGGCAGACTATGTACATTAGACGATATGTACAGAAAGTCAATTTTCTGGTCATGATTTTATATTTAATACCGGCAAGTTGAATGAATTTTATTTGCTGTGTCTATGTCTCTCAGATGCTGTCTACAGCCCAACGCTGACCAGCACAGCTGCCAAAGAAAGTGTCGGCAACACTGACGCCACGACTTTCATCCAGAAAGTGCCGTACTTCACACTGGTGAAAAGAGTTTATGATGAAAGGTAGGCCTATACTATAGCTGTGTCCACCTGCTGTATTCTCATGCCTGTAGGCAGGAATTTTGAATGGGGGGTTCTTCCCACTGCTTGAGGGACCAGCAAGCGCTGTAGGCGCGAGGCGAGCACAGAAGGCGCGGGGTTCCTAGGGGGGTCTGGGGCATGCTCCCCCGAAAAATTTTGAAAAACGAACCTTCTGAAATGGCATTTTCTGCATTTTTTTTTTCAAAGAAAAAATTAGAGATAACTTTTTCAATGACAAAGTGACCTTTAGATAAAAAGTGGACCAAAAATTGGACCTCTTTTTTGGCTTTGAGCCTTGTGGGGGGGTTCGTCTAAACCCCCTGAATGCGCCCTGGCTACGGACATAACTCTTCAGGTAATTGTCTGAACAACCTGATCCAGATGTTGCTGTTTTTGTAGAAATGTGTCACATTTTCTGGCCAAACGCATATAAACAGTCAAAGGTTCAAGCAAAGTGCATATTAGATAACCTACTGATCTTTACCATGTGAAAATCTCTACCTAGTCCTAAGCAATTCAAACTGTTGCATTTAAAATGTGTTTCAGGAACATGAAGGCAGAAGAACTGCAGGACAAACTGGATGCTGCAAAAGAGAGGTAAAACAAAAACTTAATCATGAAAGTTCATCTGTGTTGGTAGTTACATGTTTAGAGTTAAAACTTTAGATCCAATACAAGCTTAATCGTCAGAGACTATTTATTGGTAGCTTTTGATAACATTGTATAACTAGAAAGGTAATATTTGCAAGGCAAATGCATTAATGTTTACCTTTGCATATGGTCTGCTCTTTTAATTCTTACTCCAACACATTCATATTATGGTGACAGGAGTCTAAATCCCTCCTGCTATAAAATTGCAACATGATGTATGTAACATGATGTAACCCAACACTACGTAGTTACCATGGTAACAGATACAACATTGGTTCAGGACTTCAGGTCATTAAGGTCACTGTTTGGAGAAGAAGAAGAGGAAGAAGAAGAAGAAACTGAGCAAAAACAATATGTTTTCCTTCAGTAAACATAATTATAAATAATGTGTGATATACGTCGATGAAGGTTAGACATCCAGGTAATACAATACGCCAAAAAGCAGTTACTCAAGCAACTGGATATGATTTTGAAAATGTCAGACGTTTCAGCTAGTATCCACTAGCTTTCGTCAATGACTGAGAGACCAGAGGGGAATTGCAGCTTTATAAGCACTTCAGTCACTGACGAAAGCTAGTGGATACTAGCTGAAACGTCTGACGTTTTCAAAATCATATCCAGTTGCTTGAGTAACTGCTTTTTGGCGTAATGTGTGATATACTAAAGATTCTGTACTTGTTGCCTGTGTGAGAACAGACTGCGTGAGAAGCAGCAGCAGTTCCAGGCCCTGGAGGCAGTGAATGATGACCTGACACAGGACATAGACGGGCTGAACGACACAGTGGAGGGGCTGGAGGCACAAGTACAGGCCAGGAACATCGACATTAAAAAGTATGTTAAGGACATACCAATTTGATTTGTTAGTTCTCTAATTTTTCCAAAATATGAAGCGACAGGGCAAAAAAAAAAATTAAGAAAAATAAAAACAAGTCTAGGCATCCTATTATAGCCCCAAGTGCAACGATAGGAACCAATATGAAGTCAACACAAAAGGTTTGGTTAATACTCAATGAATTTTGAACTTTTAATCAAAACACTGCATTTAATAGATGGAAAAACTGTAACAACTAGGAAGAAAATGACTTTCCTCAACTATTTGGGGTAAAATATGAGCATTTTTTAGTTGATGTGGAATTTTTTTTTTTTTTTTTGCAAATCAGAAAAAAATGGAAAGGCGAATCTGAGAACCAACAAATTAAGATGGTGTGGCCTAAAAGACACAAACTTTGGTATCATCTAAGTCACAACTTATAGAATTAATGGTAAAAAAAAATCTGGGTGCTTCCACCAGGTTTGACACTGAAAATTACTAGAAAAACCTGTCCAGTCGGCGGAAAAACCTGTCCAGTCTGGACTGGTCTAGGGGGGGCGGAAAAACCTGTACAGTCTGATTAAAGGGTCTGCATGGGGGTTCCTGGCAATGCATAATGCTAAATTCAGCTGATTGTAAGACGGTCGTGACAGCCACATATAAGACAAGAAATTGCAAGTTTTCTACGTTTCTAAGGGGATAACTTGCCGATAAGAAAGGAGTGTTCACTATCATTTGTAGCCAACCTTGCTGGACAAAATGTTTTACAGTAATGACTGTAACCTCTGTAATGGTTGTTTGTTACCTTCAATATTAGTAAAGCTTTACCTGGTATAAGAAAATTGCTCAGTTTTTAAATGTCTGTACTTAAAACCACTTGCTCCTAAAAGATGAATCTAAAAACTGTAGATTTTTTTTTGGAGAAAAAAGCCAAAAGTGCGATGTTAAACCTCCCTTACCAAATTCTGTACATTTCAATGAAAATGAGCCTACATGTAGCCTCCATAGCATGCCAAAAACTGGGGGTTTTGGGGGTCTTCATGGTCTTTTGGAGCTTTTATGTGCTATTTTCTGATTGCATATAGACAACATAGCCGGCCTGGTTGAATTACGTACCCCCGTTTTTAGAACTGGGCTAATCAGAAAACAGCTGAAGACCACCAAACCTCCAGTTGTATAAACCTGCTATGGAGGCTAGCCTACATGTACATGTTTTGTACATGTATGTGTGTTGGCCATCCCTTATCTTTAAATCTTTTTTTGACAGGTTACATGAATCCATGGAAGAGAAGCAGAATGGTTTTGAGAGAGAGAAGGCGACATACGAACAGAACATCGCAAATCTACAGGCAGATATACGCAGACTGACTGAGGAGCTAAACTACATGACAACATACAAGACCAGCTTTGATAAAATGCAAGAAGGTACATTTATTAATAAAACAGAAAAAGAACTCGTTAAAACTTTTGGTCCAACACAGAAAGTTCTCTCCCTTAGAGCTTTCGACCAGTGACTCTGGTCTTCCTCAGTAGGACTGACCCAGTGAGGCTTGTCACATGGCTTCTTTGAAGTGTGACGTCAACACCGGGTCAAAGGTATATATCTGGGTGAGTCCCTGATTTTTACTCTTTCTTGTTTTGATTCCAGCATTCCACACCATGTACCCTACCGACTCAATGCCCAAGAGACTGTTGACAAGGAAGCCTGTGCTCACAAGTAAAAAGGTGAGTAGAGGCCTACCTGCATGGTTTGCTTAGGTCACATCAATAGACCCATTCGACTTTCACGGATCGCATAAACTGCTTAAACGTCACAGGGGGGACTTTTCGAATAGAAACTACGTCACAGGGGGGACATTTCAAAAGTTCCTTTCACTGATCACATAAACAGCATACGTCACAGAACAAAATAACCTTAAATTGTTGTACAGAATGCCACCATACAAAGTTGGTGCCTGTTTTCCTGTGTCATTTCTGCATATATCACCAAGAAAATAGACACTTACCTACCTTTTAGTAAAAAAATGATCTGCCAGGGGGGACACCGCGAGCACAGCTGCGTTCGACTTCAGAGTTCTAGAACGACGTTCTTTCAAAATGTCCCCCCTATGACGTAAGTAGTTTATGCGATCCGTGAAAGTCGAATGGGTCTTAGTATCTTGTTGTTTCTCAGATTTTTTCAGCAAAAATATGAAGCGACAGGGCAAAAAAAAAAGGGTGGGGGGCAAGGCACCCATGATAGTCAGAAATGTTACAATAGGAGCCATATGCATAAAGTCAACCTACCAGTCTGGTTTATAATTAAAGCAACAAATTTTGAACTTTTAATGAAATAAAGTTACATTGCTACATTGAACTACTAACTAAGTAGAAATTAAAGAACTTTCTTCAACCGTTTGGGCCAAAATATATCTTTCTTTGATCATTTCCAAGTTTATTCAGAACCTAAAACCTTTTCCTTTTTTTTTTTTGCAAATCAGAAAAAAATGGACAAGTAATTCTGAGAAACAACAAATTAAATTGGTGTGGCCTTATGATCAAAAATTGAGAAATTTGAAAGCAACTGTTGAGCCATATCATAAGACCAAGCATAAACAGAATTGTTATTTACTGATTTGTTAGAATACTGTATTTACATGTATTTACATTGTACAACAGGCTCCGTAAAAATATTTTAGGCCTGGTCATACCATAACTCTTCAAGACCACCAGGCAACAATTCTTCTGAAGTGCAGTATACATATACTTCATAAATTAATAAATATATTTTTCCCCACAGGCCAATCTGGTGACAGACATTGACAATGTGAAGAGACTGGAAAGTCAGATGTTGTCCATACAAAACTCCTTGTTGGAAGGTAGGCTTTCTAAAGGGGCATTATGATGACATTTCTGCTCCACAGTTTGAAATATTTCAATTGAAAATATCTTCTGATTGTAATTTATTTCCACTTTTCAACATATTTGTGCAGTTATCTCACATCTCTAACACTGGGTTGAACTACAAAGAAGGCCTGCATGGGGGGTAGTGATTACGAATGACGCAAAATTTTCACTGCCGATTACAAATTACGTTTAAGTGTCAGAGCTGATTACGACTTAACGCTTTGCAGCTAATGTACTGATGACGAATTACATTGATTTTTTGGGAGGCTGCCTACGGATTAGGAAGACTAAAAAGGCCTGATTATGCCTTACGAAAAAGGGCATGCAGGCTCCCTACAAAGGATCATGATTCTAGTGTGCTCCCTGTGTAAGACCATAGGATCCAGCTTGGATCTACACTGGAACTATAGCTTAATATCCGTGACCAGTGAACTACACTAGCTGTCAGCCCCATACTACCCCCTCTTGTGGGTTTGACATCTGCCTCTTTAGTGAGTCCTTAGTAATGTACCATGTAATTTGGATCAGGGGTGACCTAGATATAGCCAGTCAGTATTGTTAGCAGTTACCTCAGGGGCAATGGTCAGCCTGGAATACCATTGACTCTACTTTTCTTTTTACTGCCATGAAAATGAAGGTATTGTTTTCGGCCTGTCTGTGTTTCTGTCTATCTGTCTGTCTGTGTGTGTGTGTTTCCACATACTACTATTTTTACTAGTACTTGTGGTTAGCATAACTTCAAAATGCCTTTATGGATTGTGATGATATTTGGTGTGTTCGTAATTCTTAGGAAGACGAAGGTCAAGGTCAAATATGGGCCTCCTGGTGGATGACATTGGTACTGCAGCAGGACTTCCAGTTTCTATATCTTTTGTCCTGAACATCGGTGTCTGACTGGATATGTCTAACTAAAAGCAAGAGTTTCTATGACTGTCACAGTGAAAACTGTACATATTTCAGGGATGATAACAGTTTTCCTGACTAATGATAGGCTAACCAGCTGCAAAATGTGCCCTCAGATTGACCAAGAGTGATAGTCCAGCGGTTTGACTCTGCCTCTGGATCAAGAAGTTGGGAGTTTGAATGTATAGCTCACTTGACATAGGATTGCCAAGAAAGGGCCAGAAAATTTACCTTTTGTGTCATCCTTGGTTGTTACATAATGCCTTAAACCATTTCCCTGCTGCCTAAACACATTTAATTTACCAATAGAGAATTGGTCAGTCATAAGTATGCTTTAAATGTTTAAGGAAATGATGCCCAACATTACTCGTATTTCTGTCAGAGTTTGATGCGTACATGGAAGCCCACCTGCTCCAGCTGTCCTCCTGTGTCCAGTCAGACAACGTCAACGATCCAAACTTCTCTGCCAATGAGATGGAGATAGACAAACTGGATGTGGAGGTAAGCACTGATGGTTTCAATAGACTGATCCTGCCTGTCCATCAAATTCGGGGTTCTCACCTAAATTTTTTTTACAGCGTAGGTAACAGAAAGAACTTTCCGTGGCGCTTTGAGTCCCACAGACATGACCACAGTAGGGGGTCTGGTATTCTCCTGGAAAAAAATTGAAACTCGTAACTCCCTAAAACACTATATTTTGTGCGTAATTAGGGATAAATTCCTTGGTAAAAGGTTCATTCTAAAGTCAAATTCATTAAAATTCATGATTCTTGAAGTGTCACAATAATGTCCCCAAAAAGAAACGTA